GTGTCGTAACCAGTATTAGTCTTAGTCAAATTGGTTACAAAATCCATTGTGATATGCTCCCACTTCCATTCAGGTATTTCTGGTTGTTGTAATAATTATGATCAATGTTGATATTTTGCCTTGACCTTGGAACATGTTAGGCATTTCTTACGTATGTCGCAATTTCAGACTTCATGTTCGGCCACCAATAAAGAGTTTTTAAATCTAGATACATCTTGTCTAATATAGGATGGATGGAGTTCCAATTCGTATGGGCCTCATCCAAAACTAGTCCATTGACATTTCCAAAACTTAGAACCCATATCTAGTTCATGAAATACCTTGCTCCACCATCCCTAACTTCTAGTTGCTTTTCCATCCCCTGAGGCCTTTAGCCTAGATATATCCTTTTACTAGCTCCTTGAGCTAAGCATTTGTATGCTGTGGGATTAGACTAGACTGGATAGTGATAGATAGCACTTTGACTCTATGTGGATTAACACGTTCTTTATGACTGAAGACATCGGCTATGACGTTAGCCTTACCTTGATGATAACATATCTCGTATTCATAATCATTAAGCAACCATATTCTTTGTCTCATGTTAGGTTCCTTTTGGTCGAAGATGTGCTAGAGACTCTTATGGTCCCATGTAGATTATACATTTTTTTCCGTAAAGATAATGACACCAGATCTTTAATACAAAAACTATAGCTCCCAACGCTAGGTCGTGGGTGGTGTAGTTGTTCTCATGCACCTTGAGTTGACGTGAGGTGTATGATATGATTTTTTTCCCTTTGCAGAAATACACATCTCAATACCTAATACAAAGCGTCACAATACGCAACGAAATCATCAGTACCCTATGGAAGGGATAGTATTGGTTCACTACACAACATTTCCTTTAGCTTTTTGGAAAGGTGCTTCTTGTTTGTCTCCCAAAATGAATTTTGTTTCCTTTTGGGTCAATGTTGTGAGGGTTTGGCTATCCTAGAAAAATTCTCTATGAGCCTCCAGTAGTATCTTGCTAAGCCTAAGAATTGGCGAACCTCAGTTGGTGTCTTGGACGCTTCCTAGTTCTTTATAACCTTAATCTTGGATGGATCAACGTGAATTCCTTTACTACTTACTACATGCCCTAGAAAGTGTACATCTCTAATCTAAAATTTGCTCTTATAGAAATTTTCCTACAAATTTTCATTCCTTAGTGGCTCTATGATCACCTGAAGTTGCTACCCATGCTCTTCCTTGGTTCGTGAATAGGACATAATATCGTCGATGAATACTATCACGAATTTGTTCAGGTAGGGCTTTCATACTCGGTTCATGAGATCCTCTAAAACAAGTTAGACATTGGTCAGTCCAATAGGCATGACCAAGAACTTGTAATGCTCGTATCGAGTTCTGAACGCAGTCTTTGGAATGTCTTCTCCCATTACATGAAGTTGATGATATCCAGATCTCAGTTCGATCTTTGAAAATTATAATGGGATCCTTGCAGTTGGCCGAAAAGATCATTGATTTTGGGAAGTGGATATCGATTCTTAATGATCAACCTATTTAATTATTTATAGTTGATGAAAATTCGGATCGATCCATCTTTCTTTTTGACACATAGAATGGTTGCTCCCCAAGGCGACATGCTTGGTCTGATGAAACCCTTGTCTAGAAGTTCATATAGTTGGATGGAGAGCTCTTACATCTCCAATGCTGCCAATCTATAAGGAGACTTTGATACTGCGGTAGCTCCTGGAATTAGATCAATCTGAAACACAAATTAACACGCTTGTGGTAATCTGTGTAGATCTTGAGGCAATACATCAGGTTAATTGCATACCCGAGGTACTTCCTCGATCCTTCTCTTATTGTTTTTTCCTATTGATAATGTGGTATAGAAAGGCATAATACTTGTTCTGCAATTATTTTTAGGCCTTCATGCAAGAAATAATCTTAAGGTCTTTACTAGGTTTGTCTCCGTAGACGATTAAGAATTCTCCACTTGATAAGGGTAGACATAATGCTTTTTCAAAGCATAAGACTTCTACGTGGCTAAGGGATAACCAATCCATGTCAATGATGAAATTGAAGCTTCCAATGACCATTGGCTTGAGATTGACGAGAAAAGAATGTTTATTTAATGTTAATGCAAAATCTTTTAGTACTTCCTGGGTACTACCAAATTGAACGTTGGCCATTTCTACTCTATTGGCTTCCATAATTTTACTAGATGGATGGTTTAATAATTTCCTAAACTCGAGAGTAATATAGGTTTTTTTGGCACCGGTATCAAAAAAATACATTTGCATATAATTCATTTACTAGAAATGTACCCATGACTACCATCGGAACCTGTACGGCTTCCTTGGATCCAATCACAAATGTTAGGTGCATTTTGTGCACCTTTTTGCACATATTTTATTCCCTTCTTATGCATCTATTTAGCATAATTGTTCTTCATGTGTCTTACATTTCATCATATTTCATGTTAGTCTCAAGAACAACCTTATTTGCACATTTTCATGTCTTTTTCAGGTAAACCGGAGGTTGGAACGTGCGTTGGGAGGTGCCAGGAAGCATTAGTGAGGATTTCGGGATGATCTGGTGAAGAACAAAAAAGTTGGAAAAATCAAGTTTGGAATTGGAGTCAGAGAGGTACACGGGCTGTGTTGGATTTATACTGCGAAGGAACATGGACCGTGTTGACCAGAAAAGAAGAAGCTGTTGACTATGCTGAACATGGGCCGTGTCATTTTTATCTTTTGCTCGACACAGGCTGTGTTCGACCCAAAAAACCAACTTTTGGCAGTTTTTCCTATCTTTCATATTATGGGCTGAGGGCCATTTTTACAAGGACACAACATATCAGAACACACTTTGAGAGGAGATTTCGAAGGTTTTTGCAAAGGTTTGATTAGTAATCATTTGGAAACAATATTTCTAGTATTTTCAAGTTGTAATTGCACATTATTTCCACCTTTTAAACTTGTGATCGTGTTCTAGCCATGTGTGGCTAGAACCCTAGTTTCTCTAATTTCATGTTTTGACTTCTTGGTAGTTATTTCAATCATATGACCTGATGTTTGTTCTTAATTTCTATCTAGTGAATTTGATTTTTCTTTAATCAAATGTTTGATTATAATTGTGATTCTTATTGGCCATTTGAATTAGGGTTAGGTCATTCAAGTTATCTATTTTACAAAATTCGTAATCGTTTTGTGAAATCGAACAAGTAACAACCATTAAATTGATCTCTGTTGAATGAATTTAGTGTAAATCTTATTCATACGCTCCTACACTCATGAGCTTGTGAGGAGGATTGCGTGTTGTTGGGAACATTCACATAAAGCTTCATGCAATCTTTTAATCTAATTCTAAGAGCTTGTTTAGATTAGGTTAGTAAGGTTAGGGTTAATCAAAGAGCTTGTTTTGGTTAATTAATGTGGTGAATGGGAAGTGTTAGAGCTTATTAACACTTTCAAGTACCAACTTAGATATAACTGAATGAATATTGAGTCATCTTTGAGTCACATTGCTAAGTTGTCATACATGAAGTTGGAGCCCTTACAAATTCTGAATATAATTCACTCATTTAGTTGATTACTTGTGTTTTTAATATGTATGTTTAATCATTGCGTTCAAAACCCCCTCTTTAATCTTTTGTGAACAAGTACCTTGCGCAAAGGGGTATTAGACTGATTGTCCCGTGTCTCCGTGGATCGACCCTACTTGCCTTGTACTACCTATTAGTGCAATATATTAGTGTTCTTAGGAGCATATCGTACCCTTATCATTTGTTGGGTTTGACACGCCTAACTAATTGGCACCGTTGCCGGGGACACGATGTTACTAATTGTTTATGCCTGGATTGTTTCGTACAGATACACCATTTCCACTTGACTCGGAGATAGAGAAGACTGCAAGGAAAATATGAAAGCAAGCCAAGCTTCGTAAGAGGCAACCGGTTTCCGGGAGTACTTCATCGTCTACTCCCCCTTCATCAACATTTTGGAGGAAATACCCCTCTCAAGTGTATCTGCATCAGAAATAGAAAGTCTCTCACTCTCATCACCACCATCCTCACCCAAAAATACCACTACACCATCTTCACCTACTTATAAATCCCAAACACTACACCCACAAAAACTTTAGTAACTAGTCGCACAATGGGAGATAACCATGGAGGGAATCCACCTCCAAACCCACCACCCAAACAAACTCTTCGTCAATGGTTGAGGAAAGAGGTTACTCAACAACCTCTTTGCATCACATATCCGGCTGCCACCAACCTAGAACTGAAATTCGGACTCATCTACCTAATCCCTACCTTTGGAGGCTTTGAAAATGAAGATCCTCACAAGCTCCTCACTGAGTTCCATGTTGTGTGTGTGGGCATGAAGCTGCACAATGTCATAAGGATCAAATCAAGCATAGGGCCTTCCCCTTCGCGGTGCAAGACACAACAAAAGCGTGGCTCTATGACCTTACACTAGGGACTATTATCACTTGGGTAGATCTTGCACGACTCTTTTTGGAAAAATACTTCCCAGAGATGAAAGCTTCATCCCTACGGAGGGAAATCATTGGAAGCAAGCAACACAAAAGAGAAGCTTTTCACACATATTCTGAGAGATTCAAGAAACTTTGTGCCCGATGTTCAAAACATGGAATTACCGAGTATCAGCTGCTCCAATACTTCATTGAAGGCATGACTCCAATGGAGAGAAGGCTTCTTAATGTCTCCAGTGATGGATCTTTACCCGACAAGACTCCAACCAAAATACGCAACCTAATCAAGAACATGGCTGAAGATTCTAAGCATTCAATTCATGATGAAGAATGGTACATAGATGCACCCCGAGGTGTAAACGAAGTCCAAACTCCTCAAATTGAAGCTCAGTTGTCTGAGCTTACAAAAGTTGTAATGATGTTGGCTAAAGACAAGGGTGTGTAACCCACACCCAACCCTTGAGGTATTTGTACTCAAGTAGGGCACCCAACTGACATGTGCCCTCAACTTCAAGATGAGGATTATGAAGAAGCAAAAGCCATGGGAGGTTATTCTGGATGAAATCAAAGAGGATACAATCAGCTATGGGGCGACGAAAGATGGAACAACAATCAAGGTTGGGGAGGAAATCAACAGGGAAGTTATCAACAAAGTCAACTAAATCAATACCAACAAAGACCACCTTTTCCACCACAGAACTTTCAGCCAAGGAAGCCACAACACCCTCCTCAACAAGCGGGTTCATCAAACATGTCTTTAGAGGACGTAATGAAGATTTTGGCCACTAGCACTCAAACTTTCCAACAATAAACAAAAGAAAGTATAAAGAACTTAGAGCAAAAAGTTTCACAACTT